ACATCAGTTACCGAGCAGTCAACAGTCTTCATCCCAGCCAGAGCAAACCCCCCTGCAATGAAAACTTGCTGTGGCACCAGTCTGCGGGTATTTGTGCTCTGTCCTGTGCTCTCCCACCCGCTGGGGGTGCGCCTCCCGCCCGCGGAGCTTTGTACTTTGCTTCTCAGGGTGTCTGACGCGGTCAGTTTGCCATTTATGTTTTTTGCTTTCAGGAGCAGTCAACAGTCTTCATCCCAGCCAGAGCAAACCCCCCTGCAATGAAAACTTGCTGTGGCACCAGTCTGCGGGTATTTGTGCTCTGTCCTGTGCTCTCCCACCCGCTGGGGGTGCGCCTCCCGCCCGCGGAGCTTTGTACTTTGCTTCTCAGGGTGTCTGACGCGGTCAGTTTGCCATTTATGTTTTTTGCTTTCAGGTTGTTGGACATTATACCGCACTCTTGAAAACTCTGAGCAAAGAGGAACTTCCCAAAGACTTTGAGCCTGGTCCTTGCTATGTACAACTGGTAATTTTAAAATAGTTTCTCAGGTGACAAGTAGGATTGCCAGATCTTGACATTTAATACAAGTTGCCTAGATAGAGGGTCTTCCTTAAAATCCCAGCTTCTGAAGTGATGTGATTTTGTGAAAACCTAAGCTTTCATTTAAAAAAAATTTCTAACCATCACAATTACAGAGAAAATGTGAACTCTAAAGACTTAGAAACCAGAAAGCAAATGAAAATAACCCTTAAAATAACCCTGATTTTTAATTGTCACATGATTTTGGGGGACTTTACTCATGGCTTAAATTTGAACACCCAGGATTGACATTACTGGATAAATACTGTTTTACAAAATGACACAATATAAGGCTGTAGTTCAGCAATCAAATCTTTCTGGATGGACCCTTGACATCACTAGGGCTCAACATGTGTGCAAGATTTCATCTGGATCTGGTTGTGAATTGGAGCCTTCATTTAGATAACACCAACATCTGAATGATTAAATTTTAAGAACATATAACTGAGTAACATATTTGAACCACATTTATCTGACTAGATGTCAGGGAAGCTGAGAGAACACACTGTTCAGGTGAAAGTAAGAACTAGATCTCATCCTACAGATGCATGGTTGTAGCTGTGGAGAGCAGTGCTTTATTGGTGGTATTGTCATCTCCCCATAATGTGTCTGGTGGGATGGGTCCTTTATGCACCAGATACAGTACTTGGGTGAAGAGCTGTTACAAAAATGGCCACCATTGCTCAGGTGCTGTACCTCCTTCCCTGCTTCCTGTGCCGGTGTTCCTAGGCATAAGATTAAATTTTGACCCTACTGAAATCTATGGTGAAACTTCTAATGCTTTCACTAGGGCTATGTCTACACTATGGGGGTTTTCTGGGACAGTATCCTGGAAAAACTCCGCCATGTCCAGGGAAAGCGTCTGCTCTTCCCTCTTTTCTTTTCTTTTCTTTTCTTTTTTTTTTTTTTTTTGTGGAAGAGCAGACACAGTCTTTTGAAGCCTCTTCCCTCCTCTCCAGTGTAGATGGGTCAAATTTCAGAAAAGCCTCTTCCGAAAAAACTATTGGAAAAAGGTACACAAATTGCGGAGCACTATTTGCGTACCTTTTTCCAATAGATCCCTATAGTATAGACATAGCCTAAGGCCAGAATTTTACCAGGATGTAGCCATATTTCTCTGTAACATTGGCTTCAGTGTGCAGCTGCCATATGTTTCTTCATTTCAACTCCAAATACTTGTCTTTAGAAACCTGAAATAAATTAATGAAGGTTGGTTATATGATTGGAATAACAGAGACTTGGTGGGGAGGCTCATATGATTGGAGCACTGTCATGGAAGGATATAAACTTTTCAGGAAGGACGGGAGAAAAGTGGAGGAGTTGCACTCTATGTAAAAGAGCAGTATGATTGCTCAGAGCTCCAATATAAAATGAGAGAAACGCCCATTGAGAGTTTTTGGGTTAAGTTTAGAGGCAGGAGCAACAAGGGTGATATCATGGTGGATGTCTGCTGTAGACCACCAGATCAGGTGCATTAGGAAGATAAGGCTTTCTTCAGACAAGTAGCAAAAGCTCAGATCACAGGACCTGGTTCTCACCCTGACATCTGTTAGGAAGCCAATATAACAGTACACAAACAATCAAGGACATTTTTAGAGACTGTTGGGGACAACTCCTCAGTACAAGTGTGAAGGAACCAACCAAGGACCATGTTCAGCTTGATCTGCTGCTCACAAACATGGAGGAATTAGTAGGGGAAGTAGTTCTGGGCAGCAGTGATCATGAGAAGGTTGAGTTCAGGGTCCTGACCAAAGGAAGGAAGGAAAGAGAGCTGCAAAATAGAGACCCTGGACTTCAGAAAAGCAGACTTTGACTCCCTTTGGGAACTGATGGACAGGATCCCATGGGACACTAACATGAGGTTGAAAGGAATCCAGGAGAGCTGGCTGTATTTTAAAGAAGCCTTATTGAAGGAGCAGGAAAAAAACATCCCAATGTACGGTAAGAAAAGCTTGGCTTAACAGTAAAATCTTTGGTGAGCTTAAACACAAAAAGGAAGCTTACAAGAAGTGAAAACGGGCAGATGACTAAGGAAGATTATAAATATAAAGTTGGAGTATACAGGGTTTAATTATAAAGTTGGAGTATACAGGGTTTAATCAGGGAGGCCAAAGCGCAATTGGAATTGAAGCTAGCAAGGGATGTGAAAGGTAGCAAGAAAGGTTTCTACAGGCATATTAGCAATAAGAGGGTGGTCAGGGAAGGTGTAGGACCCTTACTGAATGAGGGAGATAATTTAGTGACAGATGATGTGGGAAAGCTGAAGTACTCAATGCTTTTTTTGCCTCTGTTTTCACAGACAAGATCAGTTCCCAAACTGCTGCACTAGGCAGTATAGTATGGGAAGGAGATGAGCAGCCCTCAGTGGAGAAAGAACAGGTTAGGAACTGTTTAGAAAAGTTGGACATGCATGGGGCCAGATTTAATGCATCCGAGGGTGCTGAGGGAATTGGCTGATGTGATTGCAGAGCCATTGGCCATTATCTTTGAAAATTCATGGTGATTGGGGGAGGTCCTGGACAATTAGAAAAGGGCAAATGTAGTTACGCCCACCTTTAAAAGAGGGAAGAAGGAGAATTTGGGGAACTACAGACTAGTCAGCCTCACCTTGGTCCCCAGAAAAATGGAGGGGATCCTCAAGGGATCCATTTTGAAGCACTTGGAAGAGAGGAAAGTAATCAGGAATAGTCAGCATGGATTTACCAAGGGCAACTCATGTCTTACCAACCTGATTGCCTTATATAATGAGGTAACTGTCTCTATGAATATGGGGAAGACAGTGGACATGATGATATACCTTGACTTTAGCAACATTTTTGTTATGATCTCCTACAGTATTCTTGCCAGCAAGTTAAGGAAGTATGGATTGGATAAATGAACTGCCAGGTGGATAGAAACTTGGCTAGATCATCGGGTGTAACACGTAGTGAACAATAGGAGTAGGTATAAAGCAGAGTGTCCTAAGGGTCGGCTGTGCAGCTGGTTTTGTTCAACATCTTCATTAATGACCTGGATGATGGGATAGATTGCACCCTCAGCAAGTTCACAGATGGCAGTAAGCTAGGGGGAGAAGTAGATACACTGGAGGGCATGAATTAGGTCCAGAGTGACCTAGACAAATTGGATGATTAGACCAAAAGAAATCTGATGAGGTTCAACAAAGATGGAAAAATCCCAAGCACTGATACTGGCTAGGAACTGACTGGCTAAGCATCAGTTCTCCAGAAAAGGACCTGGGAATTACTGTGGATGAGAAGCTGGATATGAGTTAATAGTGTGCTCTTGTAGCCAAGAAAGCTAATGGCATATTGGGGTGCATTAGTAGAAATGTTGCCAGCCGATCTAGAGACGTGATTATTTATCTTTATTTGGCATTGGTAAGGCCACATCTGGAGCATTGTGTCCAATTTTGGGTCTCCCATTACAGAAAAGATGTGGGCACATTGGAGAAAGTCCAGTGTCGGGCAACCAAAATGATTAGGGGGCTGGAGCACATGATTTACGAGGGGAGGCTGAGGGATTTGAGTTTATGTAATCTACAGAAGAGAAGAGTGTATGTGTGGCGAGGATTTGATAGCAGTCTTCAACTACCTGAAGGAGGGTTCCAAAGAGGAAGGAGAGAAGCTGTTCTGAGTGGTGACAGATGACAAAACGAGGAGCAATGGTCTGAAGTTGCAGTGTGGGAGGTCTAGGTAGGATATTAGGAAAAACTATTTCATTAGGAAGGTGGTGAAGCACTGGAATGGGTTATCTAAGGAGATAGTGGAATCTCCATTCCTAGGGGTTTTTAAGTCCCAACTTGACAACCTCCTGACTGGGATGATTTAGCTGGGATTGATCCTGCTTTTAGCAGGGGTTTGGACTCGATGACCTCCTGACGTCTCTTCCAATTTTGTGATTCTTTGATTGTGTTCAGGTGAGCATTAAATCATTTGCTCACCAAGGCTTTGGATGCAGCTGTATCTGACAAAGTTTTAGGATGGAGGCAGTTTGCACTTGTTCTTACCTTGCAGATTTATACCCATGTCATTTTATTAATCTGGGCTTTCTTAGTTTTGTGTTCAGATTGCAGTGTTTTATGTTAATTTAGGTGATCTACTAATTATATATAATTAGCTTAGTATGAGAACTACAGACTTTGTAAATTGAAATATTAATGATATTGCTTCTCTTCTGGACAATGTACTTTTAAGTTCTAGATAATCATTGACGGGCCAGACCTTCAGCTGATGTAGAGTGGCATACCTCAATTGATTTTAATGAACTTAAGATAAGAATCTAGCCCAAAGTTCTTAGGGAGTAGCTGAGGGAATAAATTTGAAATTATTTTAGCATATAAATATGTAAAACAATGATTGGACAGGAGAAATGGTAAAAAGCAGTTTAATTGGTTATGAACAAATTAAAAACTGGTCCTAAACTTGTTCAGAATCTCAGCAATACTAAAACTTCAACAATAATTTGAGATTCTGGTTGTGTATTTCAGCTATTTGAAACCTATTATCATTTAGCTATAGCTTTCCAAAGACAGAATCTCCATGAGGAAGCTGTGCGAGAGCTTAATAAAGCAATAGAAGTTGCATCTATCCCTAAGGTAAAATTGCAGTATGTACATTGCATATTGAGTACCTTTTTTATATTTGGAGAAAACTATCTTAAATGTTTTGAATATGTAAAAATTCAATCAATAATTAAATCAAAGGAACCTGTTTTAATATGCACTGTCCTGTTTCTACCTTGTGACTTTATTATTTTTATTATATTATTACATATTAATATTTATTCTAAAGCGAATAACAGCTGCATCTTAGCATTACAGCTATTGTACATCAAAATGAGATCATACAGTATAATAAACACCACTGCACTTGGGACTCAGATCAGACAGAACCACAAATAATCAATTTTCTGAATGTATTAGGTTATCGTACGCTTGCACATTGCATTAAGCATATTAGAAATAGACTTGTACACATCTTTAGAGGGTGTTTTATGTAATGGGAGAAATAAGAAGTTGAAATTCCCCATTTACTACACCCACAACCTCCAGTCATTAGTTTAATGAGGAATGGTCAATATTTTTGAAAATATGGGATAGACCTTGACTGCTGAAAATGTTAGGACCTTTTATAATTATGAATCAGTGACGTCATACCTAAATCTAATACTCATTAAGGCTGGAGCACTCCAGTGAGATGCTATGCTGGAATGTGTGGGCATTGAGGACAGTCACCACCTCACATGATTGGGCCCTATAAAGACAAGTAACTAGTTTCTTAATTTTTATATCTGAATCCCATTTCCTAATGGTAGCAGGACATTCTGGACAGGTTGCATAATGTGTTTCTGGGATTAGTCATCTGGCGCTAAATCCTATGAAATGCTGAGTATCCTCAGCTCTCATTAACTTTGATGGAAATTTCAGCCTTTTGGAAGCTTGCAGGAGACACTTAGATTTTATCGGGATCCGAGTCACTGACCCTTGGTCTTTGACATCATGCTTTATATAATGTAATACCTGTTGTAATGGCACAGGAATCTAGCATTTGTCAAAGCAGAAATTTATTCTGTGAAATAGTTGATTAAATTCTGTTCCATGCGAATATATGGGTCAATGTACAATATTTGGATTAATATCTGATATTTCATGCATACCCTAAAGTCTTTCCAATTTAGGCATTTTTGATTGGCAGGATAAATTGCATCTAAGGTAATTGGAAACAGTCTTGCCATGCTAGTCATATTTTTTTTACTATAGGCAGTGACAGCAATTGAATTATATTTTAAGGTATAATAATAAATGCTTTTGTAAATAGGAAACAATGTGGGTAGCAGGCAGTAAAAATAATCATAAAATTGATGAGCATCCTGAAAATTAGGCCATTAAAATCCTCTGGCACCTTAGGCTTTAAGTTCACTTGCTCTTTGTTGAGGTAATATTATACAGAGATGGATGCCTCATTTTTGAATTTATCTGTGTGATACATCTGTACATTTTGATTAAACACACTTAAGGGTAAGTGCACATTGGCTTTGCAGTTCATGTGCAATCTCATTAAATTTCTTCCTCATTTTTCCCCTCCAAGGGAGTAAATTGATTTATATGAGCATGCTGCTAATGTTATAGCTCCTTGTCTAGCCCCTTAGGTTCTAATGTTTTTTAAACTCAATACAATTATGGGAAATGTTACACTGGAATGATGACATAAATCATCCCCATAGGAATCTGAGCTGGGGAGTAATCTTATAGAGCCCCGCTGAGGTAAATAAAAACAATAATTTGAAATAAATAAAAGAACAATGGTGCTAATGTGGATGGCTCCAGATTATCATTAGGTTCATAAATGATAAGGTTTGTTTTTGTAACAATGCTGGATGCACTGTAAAGCTACTTTTTAGATCATAATATTAAAGTTCATGTACTATCTTCTTCCCAGCTTTCCTGTCAAGTTGGCTGTGTCTCCAGAACTTTCCTTCATACACCACTGTTTGCGAGAAGAGCATATGCATATGTAAAATGTGGTAAGAGACCCTAAGTCTTAACTTAGTAAATAAGCATTGACATTCCAAACAGAGAGATTTTTCTGGAATACTTCTGCTATGCCTTGCACTTTTGTTATAATTAGCAATGTGGGAAATATTGGGTGAGTCTGAAGAAAGATACATTCACTTAGTTTTGCAACCTCCCAGGAAAGATTTATGTACTGACAGCAGGGTGGACTTTAAAAGAAAGCAGGGGTGCTCACAGCAATGTGCAGTCTTCAAGTCGTCTGAATGCAATGTGACTTTGATAGATGGGAATCCTAGTGGCCAGCTGCCTACTCACTGCATTACTGAGTGTAAATGAAGGCTTCTTTTCAATGACCTGCTTCTCTTTGACAGTCCAGCTCTTTCATTCTTTGCAGGTCAGCAAAGAAATAAAAATGCAAGTTTAAGAAATCAAATGAAAATAATTACTTTAAAAAAGAAATACTTTCAAAATTTGCAAGCATTTTTATGCATTTTACATATACAAATCTGATTAAGTAATTAGAGAATGGAGCATATATTAACTATTGAGTATACTTTATAGTTTTTAGGAACAAAGGGAGAAAAGCCCAACTGGTCAGTAAAACAGCAACTTTAATTCAAGTTTTATCCCATCTACAAAATCCTCAAATTAAAATAAAAGTAAAGTGTAAAAGCTGGGGAGCTGTGTAATATGTGTGTGTGTGGAGGTGGCTCTGTGTTTTTGGAAGGGGCAGGGCTGGGGCATCCAGGCACCAGTGATGCTCAGACAGCATGGTGCCCCCATCACGTCCCCACTGAACCTCGGAGCCATCTGAAGCACAAGGTGCAGAGTTCTGGAGTACACCAGTGCTCCAGTGGCGATTCTAAAGGGTCCAGGGCAATTGTCCCATTTGTGCCTCCCCCTGGCAGTTGGCCTGCATAAAGGAACTTCTCCATGTCAAGTCAGGAGCTATTGGGGGGGAAAAGAGAATTTAACTATCTAGGCTTGAAGCATTAAATAAAGACTTGTGTAATACAAAAGGATCCAGACAGAAGGACCTTTCCCATAGATCTGTTGATTTCAGTGTGAATCAAGGAAGGCATAACGGTCCATGTGTGACTCCTTTTGTAAGATCTTTTGTTTGGAAGAGAGGATTGATAGGGGACATGATAACAGTTTTCAAGGAATCAAAAAGGGTATCACAAGGAGGAGGGAGAAAATTTATTCCTCTTGGTTTCTGAGGACAGGACAAGGAGTAATGGGCTTAAAGTGCAGTAGGGGAGGAGGGAGAAAAATTGTTGGGGTAGCTTAGGTTCCAGACACTGAGAGCGTAAGTGCAATGCACATGCCAAGAGGCAGAAATACAGGCAGAAGGAATTAAAATATAGGTGCCAGGTGAGTTACAGGGTTTGGTGAGAATTTTGTGGATTGCACTTGGGATTCAAAGATCTATATTTTGCTTTTGATTGAGACACTGTGAGCAAAAACTCTGAACTTTTAAGTATTATCTGGCAATTGTTCTTTCTGACTTGAAAGAAACCCAAATTCAGCAAGATTGAATATCTTTTTTATTGATTGCACACATGAAAAGATGATGTTACAAAACAGAGATGTATTTTATTAAATCAGAAGACATCAGCTGTACTTTTCCATTAGAAGAGTGTGTGGGAAAGTGCACTGAAAACAAGTTGCATAACTGAAAGTGTATCTACTTATACAAAAACTTAGATATAAAAATGTGCATAATAAATTACACACTTTTAGGACCACTTCAGAAAGTCTGTCCCTAGTACTTAATGATTGCTCAACTAGTTTGGGAATTTTGGGGTAGCTTAGGTTCCAGACACTGAGAGCGTAAGTGCAATGCACATGCCAAGAGGCAGAAATACAGGCAGAAGGAATTAAAATATAGGTGCCAGGTGAGTTACAGGGTTTGGTGAGAATTTTGTGGATTGCACTTGGGATTCAAAGATCTATATTTTGCTTTTGATTGAGACACTGTGAGCAAAAACTCTGAACTTTTAAGTATTATCTGGCAATTGTTCTTTCTGACTCAAATCTGGTTAAAGCTTACTGCAGAATATGTAAAGAAAAAACAAAACAAAAAATCCACAGTCTTGAGCAATAAAATGTCTGACAACTCATAATCTATGTGCATGTGGAAAAGCAGGCACATTCTCTTCTTTTCAGTTCTGGTTTTGATATCTCCTTCATCACTGTAGTATGTGAATGCTTTTCACTAGTTCCTTAAATGATGTAATTAACATCAGTCACGTGTGATCCATTCTGTGTCTCTCATCCTTCCCCTATGGGGAGAATTGTGTGTTTGCTATAGTGGTTTATTGTATGAAGGGTTATTTTTTAAAATACAGTAGACTTCCGATAATCCGGAACCTCTGGGACCTAAGTGGTGCTTGATTATCAGATATGCCGGACTATCAGGAGGTACTATAAGATGGTTATACACAGGGCTCATCGAACCGCGGCGAGCCCTGCTCGCCAGCCGTGCTGTCTGGCGATCTGCGCATGCACAGATCGCCCAAACCTGGCTCTTCTGGGTTGCAATCTACTTGCAATGAGCAAGATGCCCAGTGAGTGAAATGGCAAGAGCCTAGTGAGTGAACTTCGGCAAAAAACGAGTCACAAGGCAGCAGTGGCATCAGCTGAACCAAGCGAAACCGGACGGGACCGAGTCAGTCTGCCACCGGCATTGTGTGACTCTGGACAGTGCTTGTGCTACAATAAAAAGGGTTAAAAACACTTTATATACAGTATATACTGTGTGTGTGTGTGTGTGTGTGTGTGTAGATATATATATATATATATATAGTAGGCATTTCACAGCTGTTCCTTTCCATTTCTGTACTTAAGTTATGTTGCTCAGTGGTGTGAATTAGAGTCACCTTCTTGAGTAACATAACATGCGGCTTTAAGTGCTGGTGTAAACAGTGCTGCTTAGGTGTGGAAGTCCTTCTCCGACTGACATAGTTACCACTGCTTGCGGGTGCTGGAGTAATTAATCTCATGGGAAAGCTCTCTCCTGTCGACTTAGAGCTACTTAGAGAACTTATAGTGGTGAAGCTATACTGCTGTAAACTGTCTAGTGTAGCTATAGAGGCTATTAAGGCTAATAGTAGGGTACATCATTATCCATGTTATCTCCTCCAGTGAAAAAGAAACAGTAGGTAGCTCTGGGGAAGAAATCTCTAAAAGATCTTTTCACAGATTCCTTTCTCTTGTCTCCCCTGCATGTTGTTTCAAGGAGTACAGGGTTTTCCCCAAGGAAAAAACTTTGAATATAACCTCAAACCCGGTGCATCTCAAATCTTTAATCTCAAATCCTCTCTGTGTCTCTGCATCAATTCTGTCACCAGCTCCCTGCCTCATTCACTCCTTTCTCTCAACCAGACCCCATGCTGCACAAAAAGCACTCTGCAGGTTTGAAGGGATAGATGCCAAAGTGGCAAATGAGGCCCTTTACTATAGAAGATGGGGGATTTCCACCTGGAGGTCCCTTCCATTCCTAGATCTAGGTATCCTAATCTGGACCATGTGTTTAAGATACGCTTTTGTGGGCCTCAGTGGCTGTTTTAGACTCTAAAATTTAGAGTATTGTGGCAGCATATGTCCAAAAAAAACCCTCCCAACCTTCTCTCTTTCTCCCCCCCCAAAAAAACCCCTGTTCTCCAGAAGCAAAATAGAGTTTAAGGTCAAAAGGGGCCACCACATCATCTAATCTGACATCTTCTATATCACAGGCCATCAACACCAAGTAGAATCTGCACACTAACCCCAACAACCAAAATTACATCAATGTGTTAGAGATCGCCGGAGACTAACCTATTATGTGTCAGAGGCAGAGAACAGGAGGGACTGAGGTGCATCAGTAGCAGTGAGGCCCTTGCTTTGGCAAAAAATTAGTAAGTGAAATATACTCAGATACGCAGTGAGACCCTTGCTTTGGCAAAAAATTAGTAAGTGAAATATACTCAGATACTCCTGAGAAATGACCTGTATTGCATGCTGCAGAGGAAAGCAAAAAATCCCCAAGGTCACTGCCAATCTGATTTGGGAGAAAATTCCTTTCCTGCCCCATATATGGTGATCAATTAAACCAAGAGCATCTGGACCAGAACCAGCCAGCCAAGGTGCTCAATTCCCTGCTCTGCCCCAAATTCTGCTTCCATTCTACCCCTTCTCTCAAGGCCACAGTTCCACCCTCTCCCCATCCCACCTCTTCTCACCCTGCCCCGTTCTATCCCCTCCCCTGAGTATGTCACATTCTTGCTTCTTCCCCCTTCCTCGCAGCGTCTTGAATGCCATAAAACATGAGCTGATCTTGATATCCGGGAAGTGCAGAGGAAGGTGCTGATTCACAGGGTCTACCAGCAGGTGGGAGGTACTGGAGGTAGGAAGGGGCTGATAGGAGGGGCTGCCAATGCATGCTCAGAAACTACCTTTTTTTTTCCAGGGGTGCTCCAGGGGAGCAACCTTGGAGTCGGCACTTACGAGCCAGAAAATACTTAGTGCCCCCTCAAAATACTGGCTCATACCTTCCAGTGTCCCATTTGCTCCTTCTAACAAAACTCTGGGAACTTCTTGTGAATTTTTTTGCTGACATGTTAACACTGGCATGTATGAAGAGGTTCAGCAACTAATAATGGAACTTAACAAAAAATCGGATGTTGTTGTTCTGTGGTGAATTCATGGTCATTAATCAACACCACATAGTTTTTTTGATGCTCACACTGAACTGAATGGAAAATCTGTTCTTAAGAATAATTGTATTTCATTGTAAGATGTTTTTGGTGTTTTTCTAGGCAACGTGTATTTAAAATTACAGATCACCAAAAGTCTGGGGCTCTAAGACAATGGAACTAACAAAAAAGCATTTGATTAGTATTGTGACCAATTTTAGAAACTTTGCAAACAGTTTGAATTTTGGCATCTAGAACAGGATGGTTTGATTTAAATCAAAGCAATTTAAATCACCAGTTTTACTCATTAAAATCAGCAAGCAGGAAACCTTGATTTAAATAATCAGTCTTAATCCTTAGTACTTTTTAGTAATTCTCATAAACAAAGATTAATTTTCATTAGTTGGTAACCATTAAAACAGGTTGATTTGCAATTAAATGTGGACTTTTCACTAAATATGGTGCTTCTTTTTGCTAATCAGTAGAATAAGGTATATACACATTTATTTAAACAGTTATATGGCTTAACTAATATTTATTCATTCTTAATCTTTATTTTTTTATTATGTTATGAAAAGTTGAGTGATGCATTTCTTATTTATTAAATGTTTATTAATTTTTTACTTGTGATGTGTCAAGTTCTCTTTGGATGTAAATTCAAATTAATTTGAACATGCACAGAATTAGCATTTTTAAATTAAATAAAAGTACCTTAAAAGGTGAAAAAGTGGCAGTGTAGACATCAGTGTAAGGGTTTTTTTATTTATACAGTAAAACTCCGATGGTCCGGCATCTGATGGTCCGGCATCATCAGGAACCCGGAAGTCCCCCGGGCAGCCGGACCATTGGAGCTGCTCTGCCCCCAGATTCAGCTGCTGCTAAAACTGACCAGCGGCTGTCTCCAGGAAACCCGGGGCAGAGCAGCTCTGCTTCGGGCTTCCTGGAGTCAGCCGCTGATCAGTATCAGCAGTGGCTGACTCGGGGACACCTGGGGCAGAGAAGCTGGGGTGCTGCCGGGTTGGTCCTGTGGTGCCGACCCATGGCGCCACGAGACCAACCCGGCAACACCCGAGCTGCTCTTGGGAAAGCCTGGCTCCTCGGCGCTACTGGACCAACCCGGCAGCACCCCAGCTGCTCTGCTGCAGCCATCCCCGATTCAGCCGCTGCTGAAACTGACCAGCGGCTGTCTCCAGGAAACCCGGGGCAGAGCAGCTCTGCTTCGGGCTTCCTGGAGTCAGCCGCTGATCAGTATCAGCAGTGGCTGACTCGGGGACACCTGGGGCAGAGAAGCTGGGGTGCTGCCGGGTTGGTCCTGTGGTGCCGACCCATGGCGCCACGAGACCAACCCGGCAACACCCGAGCTGCTCTTGGGAAAGCCTGGCTCCTCGGCGCTACTGGACCAACCCGGCAGCACCCCAGCTGCTCTGCTGCAGCCATCCCCGATTCAGCCGCTGTTGAAACTGAACAGCAGCGGCCGGATCAGGGGTGGCTTGGGGCAGGGGCG